TTCGAGACCCGCCTGGGCAGCGAGACCTCATCTCTACAATAAATCAAAAAATATCAGCCGGGCTGAGGTGGAAGGATCGCCGGAGCCCAGCAGGTGGAGGCTGCGGTGGCCAGGAGCAGCCACTGCACTCCAGTATGGGCGACAGAGTGAGACTCCAACTCAAAAAAAAAAAAACTGAGCTGAGCATGGTAGCACGTGCCTGTAGTCCCAGCTACTCGTGAGGTTGAGGTGGAAGGATCACCTGAGCCCAGGAGGTTGAGGCTGCAGTGAACCATGATCGTGCCACTGCACTCCAGCCTGGAAGACAGAGTGAGAACCTGACTCAAAAAAAAAAAACCTGACTCAAAAAAAAAAAAAAAAAAAGAAAAGAAAAGGCAGGTATTCTGAGGAGCTGTCTGAAAAGAGAAGCAGAGAAATGGGTTGGTGACTGGAGGGAGCAGTAGGGTCAGGGAAAGGTTGTAGGACATGATGTTTGTTGATGGAAATAATGGGATGAGGGAAGAGTTGTTGGAGATTACATTTAAGTAGGCTAGAATGGGGTCCGGCGCACAGATGGAGGTGTTCCTTTGGGAGCCTCTAGCTCATCCCTAGTTACAGGTGAGGAGGCAGCATGGGTGCCTGAGGTTGGTGGGCTACTAGATGGGACAGAAACAAATAGAAATTTTAGGGAAATTATCATCTTAAAGATAAAAAATAAATCTGAATACTCCATAAGGAAGTTTAAAATGAAGCAACATTTTTCTTCATGTGAAGTATCTCACAGCCAATAGGATGGCATTACTTTTTAGTTTTTATTTTAAACCAAGACATTCTTGTATTTTAACGGTATGTTTAAGTCTTGTTCATATGTCTTTTTCTGAAATACACTTTAGCTCCAAGTTTCATCATCTCTCCTCTAAGGAAAGATGAGAAACTTTGATAATGTATTCAGTGTATTTTAAAAAGGCCTCATTTTTTACCTCATGTGGAAAAGCCATGGCTGCCCAACTGTATCGACTGATGTCATTAAGATGGGTACCAAGAGGCAAAATATTATGAACCCAAAGCCTCCAAACTGGATCACAAGCACTCCTTTCTGCTTCCTTAATAAGTAGATACTGATGACTTCGATTTATGTTCATTAGCAACAAGTCAAAGCAAACCATTTAATTTAGAGACAAAAAGGAGTTAAACAATCATTATGACCAAATCCTACCAATTCACATATGAGGGCACTGAAGCTCAAATACTTTACAGGACTCACCCCTCAGGATGCAGGTAATAGGGATTGGGTAGGAGAAATGGGTTTAGGATCTATATCTGCTGACTTCTGCTCTGCGATGTGCCTGCTGTAATGTATTTCCCTTTGTTTAAAAAGCTTGTGCTTCTTTTTTTTTTTTTTTTAAGAGTCTCACTCTGTCGCTCAGCCTGGAGTACTACACTGGCATGATCACAGCTACAGCAGCCTTGACCAGCTGGGCTCGAGTGATCCTTCCACCTCAATCTCCCTAGTCGCTGGGACTACAGGCGTGTACCACCACACCTGGTTAATTTTTTTTTTTTAAGTTATTGTAGAGACAAGGTCTCACCAAGTTGCCCAGGCTGATCTAGAACTCCTGGGCTCAGGCAACCCTTTTACCTCAGCCTCCCAAAGTCCTGGGATTATAGGTGTAAGCCACCATACCCGGCCTAAGAAGCTTGTGCTCTTCTGAAGTAACCAGACGCACACACATGAAGCATTTAAGGAATAAGGCAGTGCATACTAAAAATACTAAAATATTAAGTTTGAGGTAAGGGCACTGGAAATTTTTAGAAGGAAGCTATCCCCATTGGTTGACATAATCCAGGAAGAAAATAATAGTATATGAAGTATATCCCGAGTACCTAGCACAGTACCTCTACATAATAAGCACTCAATAATTATTTGTGGAATTTAAGTTGGGATTCTTACCAGGTTCCAGGCATCAGGCTTTATGTCCATTAGCTCATTCAATTCTCAAGCAACCCTAATGAAGAAGGCATAGTTATTGTTCTCATTTTACAGATGAGAAAACTGAGGCACAGATGAATTAAATATGTTGCCCAGGGGCATGAAACTAGTATGTGACAGAGCTGGAACTAAAACCTATACCTGCCAACTCCAGAGCTTGTGGTAAGAATGACTGTGTTATATGACCAGCTCCAGACTTGAGGGTGTTGGGTAAGATTTAGGTCACAAGAGAAAGGTCTGTGCATACTGTGTAAGGGAAACAGCTTACAAAAGGTATTTGGTGAAAGTGAACAAAAGGTACTTGGAGTGCCTGTAACATACATCTAGGAGAACCAAGTAAAAGGAACACAGAGAAATCCATCTGGGAACCTGTCTACATCCTTCCTGCCCCTGGTTTTCTTGCCTGTGAGCAATCCTCAGTCATGGACCTTACCAGTAGCAGAGAAGAAGCCCAAGGGAGGTCATTTTGTCTTCTGTCCGTCTATGCCAGATCTTCCTCTGATGAGTGAGCATGTAAAACCTTAAATCTGTTTGTAATGTCACTTTCTAAAGTTACATTACACAGTCACAATCTTTGAACAGAATTTAAAGTGGCTGATCCGAAATCTGGTACATCTGGGTATTCAAATGTAGTCCTGACAACATAATTAAGGATAATTTTATTCATCCGCTTTGTTGAAAGTTCAGGAAACTCTGGACAGATGGTCAGCCTGCTCCCCTAAATCCCTTTTGTTTATCGAGTCTGTCAAAACCCTAGGAACATGAGTCTTAATATCACAATGGAATGTTTTCGAGATAAACAGTTCACAAAAAGACAAGGGAAATTTTTACTTTTTAAATCCCCAATTAGCTGGCTTAGTTTTATGAAATTGTAATTACAAGTTTACTTTCTCTGCAGCTAGAATGAATCTTTACTTTCTGAAACAAAATGAATGTAAGAGACACATTTTAGCATGTTTATAAACACTGCATTTTTATAAACTTTAAAGAATATTTTGCTATTAGGTCCTAATTTATTATTACCTATGGTCTGCTAATGTCTGTCCACACTGGAATAACTTAAATGTTTGTGACTCTGGTATGTACACTGATTAGCTAGGTCAAGCCCTTTTTTGGTTGAACTCCAACGTTTTTGAAAGTGTTAATATCACAAACACTGGTAACAGCAGTAAATAACGAGGAAATGAGATCACGTCAAAGAAAAACGTTTTCCTTTTTTTTTAACTGTCTTAAACATTTGTATTGTGAGTCATGGTGCCAGAAAGTTAGAAACTCCTACATCTTGGGATTTTGTTTTCCATATTCCATTAATAGATCTGGAAGGGTAGATAGGACTTTCAAAAACATAAAAAATTATTTTAGGATTGTTGTGGTGGCTCATGTCTGTAATCGCATCATGTTGGGAGGCCAAGGTGGGAGTATTGCTTGAGGCCAGAAGTTTGAGCTCTGCCTGGGCAACATAGTAAGATCTTGTCTCTACAAAAATTAAAAATTAGCTCGGGGTGTAGTGGTGCGTGCTTATAGTCCCAACAACTCAAGAGGCTGAGGAGGGAGGATTGCTTGAACCCAGGAGTTTGAGGCTGCAGTAATGTGTGGTTGTGCCACTGCACTGCAGTTTGGGCAACAGAGTGAGACCCCCAACTCAAAAAAAAAAATTATTTTAGTTGAAAGAAACTTTAATTATTTTACTGTGGTTAAGTTAATGAAATTTCAAAATTTGAAGCAGGGCAAAACATCTTTTTATGGGCCAGAAAAACATTCTAAATTTCTTAAGATCGCACTCAACAAGGTCTGCCTTCCTTGGGAGATTTTGTAGAAAAAAGCTAATCCTAGTATACTGTTGGTGGGTGATTGTTTCAGTTCATGCATTTATTCACTTCATTCATCCATTTGTTAACACTCGTTCATTAAAAAGTACTTACTGAATGTTTTTAGTGTGTAAATCAGCATGCTGAATCTCAAGGGGTACAAAGATAAATAAGACAAATCCCCTGCTTTCCAGCAG